AAACTTTTAATTGTTGAATTCAATTTTTATCACGGCAGGAAATTTTTACAGTCTCAAAGAAAATTAAATTTTTAAATAATTGGCAAAGGCACTCTACAATTTTATTTTACACAATTTTTGGTATTAATTTACTTATAATTTATCGATAAGTAAATTCTGGCATTGGCAAAATAAATCAATAAACAATCTGGCACTGGGAATTTTGAATTTTCTGTCAGCTGGTAACATACAATTTGTATGTCTGGCGTTAGCAACAAAAAATTTTTAAATTCTGGCAACATATAAAATTTTCTGGCACTGTCAAGCAACAAAATTTGAATCTTCTGGCTATTGACAAAATGAACTTTGGCTCTGGCTAAATTAAAGATTCAAATTTCTGGGACACTTGCACTAAAATCTGGCTCACAATTAAATTTCAGTCGTGTCTCGGTTCGAGCCTGGCCCCACGTTGGGCGCCAAATTTTGTGACGTATGAATTTAACTAATTTTATTTTAAGTTAAAAGTTTCTGCTTTACGTCAGGCAAAATCCGACGCTTTCAACAAAAATAATAATTTGAAATTTAAGTTAATAAATTTCGCCGTCAGGCGCCAATTAATTTTTAAGCTCAATTAATAAACTACTCGACTCTTTAACAACCCGACAAACAACAACACCTCTGAGACGCTCTCAATCGTCAGAGGAAATTCTGCCTGAACAAGTTGGCAAGCAGAAATGCCAACGACGAGACACGACTGGCTCAACACTGGCTCGATACTGACTCACCCAGCGATGTTCCTCAATCTCTCCTTTTTGCTGGCTTCTTGGCGGCTATTTTCCCCAGGGATAAATAGAGGAATAATCCACAGAAAACCACTACACTTCTGTTACACTCTTTATTAATCCTCTTTCTACACAAAACTCTCCTTTTAGGCACAATACAAAATTTTACAAAACCCTTTAACACTCTCGACAAGTCCCTCAACACACTACTATTTCTACACGTCTCGTATGACAACTCTCCTACATCACTCGTAGGCCAACTAACTACTCAAAAATGTCGGCGAAAAACTCTTGACACCTGTTTCTCGCTTTTCCTACACGTGCTCGGCTTCGTCAACTCTTCTTCTCTCTCGTTCCGCTGGCTCTCCTCTCTCTATCTCTTTCTAATAGACAGCGGCTCTGCCCTCTACCACTTTCTCTCCTACTAACTAGCCGCGCGACACACATTCACCACTGATAGTGGGTCACACGGCAGTTCCGACTTTCTAAATTACCATACCAATTAACGATCACGGTTCAGGGATAATTCCGACAGATGACATGACGATTCAGAATTTCGACAAAATAAAGAACGACAATTCACATCGTCACAGTCTATTTAGATCGTTGACATTTTGAACTTTTTCACGTAGTTCATCTGCATGTACTTTATTCTCTAACATTTTTTCTAATTCGACTTCATTTTTGTTTATTAAACCATTTTTTAATATTGTCTTAAAAGATACACCCGAAACAACTAACTTCACTACTAGCCTTTGTTTCTTTTCTTTATTTTCTTTCTCATTAATTTTCGTACTAGTAAATTTATTTTTTACTTCTAATAATTTGGGACATCCTCTATAAGAGGCTGGATGTCCATAGCTTCTACAATTGACACAATAAATTTTTTCGTATGAAATATCCTTTGTAGAAGTAATTTTACATTCACCCGGGCCGTGATTGACTTCGCATTTAACGCAACGATAGATTCTATTACAATAGCTTGCTGTGTGTCCTATACGCAGGCAGTTATAACATTGGATTGTATTTTTATGATGGATTTTTTTCCACCAGACTATCTGATTAGCAAGTCTTGTAATACTTGTCAACTCTACATTACTACTTTGAGAGGTGATTTTTACTAGAAAGGCATCCCCACCTCTTTTACTTCTAAAAAATGTTTTTAAATTAATTTTTTTTATTTCTATTATAATTACCTTTTTGAGTTTTAAGTTTTGTAATTCAGTAAGGATGTCTTCCCCTCCATAATCACCTCCCACTTCCTTCAACAACCATGAAAAAGTTTTTTCTTCTTTTGGTATTTTTGAATGAAATTCTACTTTATTTTCTTTAAATTTTTCTGATAATAATTTAAAATCATTATAACTTTTTACATAAACTGCTATTTTATTTTCTGAAAGATTTTTAAAAATAAAATTCTGATTTTTTAATACCTGTAATAAAATATCTGATAGTAATGATATTTTTAAGTTCGTTACTATAAATGGAGGCTGCTGGGATTTAAAGTTGTTTTTGTAGCTTGGTGGATCTCTTTGTTCGTTGTCGCCGTTATGAGAAGATAATTTAATTGTCTCCTCCTCCATATCCATGTTTTCTTCAAATGAATCTGCGTTGATGATGTCATCTTCTGCTTTCCTTTTCATTGCGTTGTTCAGAATGTTTTCATTTGCTACCTTCTTGGTCCGAGGATATGCATTCGTCATTTTATCGATTTTTTGTGAATTTTCTTTTAGTAATGTCTTCTTACTTTCGTCAGTTATTATTTTTTTTGCGAATTTGGAGGTTGATGTACCTCCACTATAATTGTCTCGGCCTTGTTGTTGTTCATTTGCTCTTCCGGTGTTTTTGTTTCATCTTGTTCGTCATTAGACTCGTTTACTATATGAAAATATTTCACTGTGTCTTCGTGTAAGATTAGGTTAATACTTATATCCGTATCCGGCAATGTTGATTTTAAGCCTTCATCTCTAACTTCTATGTCCATCCCTTCTCCTTCGTTCACCTTTTTTGCGTATTTGTATTTCCGCGTTGAGTTACTTTATTTTTTGCTTTTTGCAGGACTGCCTCTGAAACTTTATGTAGTGTCTCAGAAGATAAGGAGTTTAGTATATTATTCAACGACGCTGCACTTTTTGGATTTGATGCTATTTCTTTATATTGTCTTGATAAATATAGTTTGTCCTTTTTGAATATAGATTTACCATTTTTTGTGGCGAAAGCCGGTCTTTGAGAATTACAGTGTTTATTTGTCATTGTACTAATTGTTGTGTGGACACTAACACTATTATCAATGATGCTCAATAAATCTTCCTTGGTCACTTGTGTTGATGCTTCAAGGTTCAGTGCTTTGCACTTGCTTAACAGATATAATAGACATGACACGTATAAGTATATTCTGAGTATATAGCATTAAGATTTCACTTGCTTTTACGAAATAAATATGATGAATCACTCGCTAAAATTTTTCACTTTCGCGCCTAAATTTTTCGATAGCGTCACTTTATCAGACTATATTAAACCTGATATATTTAATAGACAAAGACAATAGCACTTTTTTGCTCCCTGATGCACAATTTAATCCTTATCCTACAGTGAAGATGTGACTGTCCGCGACAAAAGGGACCTTAGCTCCCAATAGTGAATTTTGCAGGAAAGGCGATTGAAGTAGTGCGTCTCTGATTGGTGGAGACGTTCTACTAGAATTCAGCCCCACTACTCACTATACATTGTACATTGATATTTGTCCGCGTTACACGAAGCGCACAAATTGTATGTAGATGACCAGTGCAGTTGTATTGAAAAGTAGAGGGGCTGCTTTTCTGAACAACCACGAGTAAACACTCAACAAGCTCATTTTTAAACATTAATAACAAAAAAATCTATAAGTAAAAATTATTTTTGATGCTTGTATGTGAAAGAGCAACTCAATAAATATTGAATAATATACATAACTCGAAATTAATTTTTTCGGACCTAAGGTCCCTTTTGTCGCGGAACGTCACATATGGCTTCTGGTATATAACTTTAATAGACGGATAAATCGTCACGTCAATATATTATAGAGACGCCATTAGAAGCGTGGTCGCACTCACTATTTTTCACTCACACTTTCCGTAATAATATGGTTTTTTATTACTGATGAAACAACTGATCTAACTTACTAGATGTAAGATGCACAGTCTAACAGAATAAGCACTATTTTTAAAGATCGTAGTTACTAATTTCGCGATAACGAAATTGACCAGATCATGAGCAAGGCGTGCTCTCGTCCCGAACTTTATCGGACGACAACTTAGCCGAGACTGCCCTAACCACTATGCTACGGAACCAAACTGAACACAGACGCTTTATTTTCAGTGACTTGTTGAGTGATTCAATATAAGCATTTATTGACACAAATACACTACAGAAAATAAATAAATTGTTTAATAATAATAACCTTTAAATATTCATAAATTAATATTTTTATTATTAAAAAAAATGTCAAAACATTTCAGTTAAAAATAATATTTATAAAATATAAAATTATAAAATATTTTATTATAAAATATAAAATTATAAATATTATAAAAAGTACATGTTTCGGTAACCTATTCGCAGTTTAAAGTTAGTTGTTGTTTACATTTTTGTTTCTTAATTTTCTTTAATTTTTCTTTTCAAATATTTTCAATTTTAAAATTAATGTATTGATAATCTTCGAATTGCTGCAAAGAATTTTATCAAAAAATTTGATAATAATAGAATTCTTTCAAAGAATTTCTTTATTTAGAAAAATAACTAAATTCTCGCGAAGAATTTTATGAATATTTTTGAAAATCCTAATTAAATTCTTTTGAAAAATTTCATTGAATTTTTTTTAAACTAATGAAGTTTCTTTAATAATTTTAATTGAAAATTTCGAAAGCAATTGAATTTTATGAAGAAGAATTTTATTAAAATTGTATTGAAAATAATTGATTTCTTGCGAAGAATTTTACTATTTATCAAAATAATTGAAATGTTTCGAACAATTTATTAAAATTTTAAGAAATAATTAAATTGTTATGAAGAATTTCATAGAAATATTTAAAAATCATGAAATTTTTTAAAAAAATTCAATTAAAGTTGTTTCGAAAATAATTGAATTTCTTTAAAGAATTTTATTAAAATTAAGTATATTCAAAATAATTGAATTCATCATAAGAATTTTAATTACTTTTTGAGAAAAATCTTTTTTGACACATTATTCTGAAAATCCAGGTTCACTAAGTTTGGATCTAGCGAAAATACCAAGGGGAAGTCCTAACTCAAAAAGTTGTACATTAAAGCTTTTGGATCCTTCATCGCCTACTATTAATTTATTCGAGATTATGAAAACCAAAGCCTGGTGGCCCTTCAGATCAACTGACGAGACTGGAAAATACGTACCAGCTGTACGTAAATATTATTTTTATTTTAAATAAATAATAAATTAATAAAACTAATAGAATAATAAATAAATGTTAAAATACTAACAAAAATAATAACCGATGGTACAGCTCGGTTGGCGGAATCCCGTAGCTTGCGATAACGAAGGTTAAGCACATTTGAGTGCGGTTAGTACTTGGATGGGCGACCCTCATACAATAAAATCATACTTTACTTTACTAACAAAAGTAATAAAAAAAATAAAGGAATAATTGAAGCGTTTTGTGCAGAAACCGCATAAGTCCATTTTTTTCGAAAATTACTTTTTTATTGAAAATTTAACTTCAAATGAAGCTTTTCAATCTGGTAAAATATTACATAAGTAACTAAACTCTAAACCCTTAAAAAATAATTAAAATATCATTTCGTGCAGAAACAGTACAAGTCCATGATAAGTTTTATATTTACTTGTGATAATCTTGACGTGTTTTAATAATTTATATTAAACAGTTTATATTATAAATAAAAAACACTCAAGGGAAGCAAAAAGTGATAGTGGTGACTGAATTATTCTAAAATTAGAGAATATTGAAAATTAGTTAAATTTATTCTTAACCCTTTGAGGACCAAATTTTTTCTTAAAAAATCGCGATTTTTCATTTTTAAGCAAACTTTTCAGGGAAAGTTATTGAAGTTTTTTTACTTAAAGACCAGTGTTTGTGATACGAAATTTTCCAGACTCTGTGAAAATTATTGTTTCAATATTCAGTTTTGAAAATTAAAACATTTATGCCCGAGTTAATAAAAAAATGTTCATGTTGCATGAAAGCAACACTGGTTCTCAAAGGGTTAAAACAATTTTATTATTTATAAAATGTTACTAAAAATTATCCAAATTCAATATTTTAAATAAATGTTATTAAATATTTAATAAAACTTTGATACTTTATTCGATTCAATAAATTTTCTGTGTTTTTCATTTCATTTTGTGCAAAAACAGCACAAGTCCAAATGTTAATTTATTTTCTTATTTCTTATACTAAGTAGGGGAGAGTCTCCAGTTGTGAGACGGGTTTTATTTTTGACCCGTAAATTGTAAACGGGTAAACGAAATTCTAAATAAAATACACCGTTCGAAAGGTAACTGAAATACGCAACTTTTATTAAATAAAAGTATAGTGTTTCGATAAACTCAAAAAATTTTACGATACATTTTCCGAGCACATCGCTTTTTTCAACAAAAATAATCTGCCCGCCCTTCGGGCGGACATACTCTCATCCGCGCTTCGCGCGGGGAGCTCGCAAGTTTCAGCGCGCCTTGGAGCGCGCGAAATATTGGTCGTCGCGCTTCGCGCTCCGTGGATTATTGCGCGCTTCGCGCGCAAATAGCTCGCAGTCGTCCGCGGAGATTGTGCATTACTTGCGTTCTTGATCCTTTTTCCTATTATATATTTATAAAACTTTTTTTTCTTTTTCCTACTATATGTTTTATCAAACTTTTTTTCTTAAAGTTACTACGACTTTGAGGATAACATTCTCATCACATATTTTTGTTTGCTGATGATTGCAAGATTAAGTACACTTTTATGAAAATTTTTAGTCCTGCTAATTAAAAGTGTCAAATTATTCTTAATTACTTACTTTCTTCGCAGAAGCATGGTTTGCTGAATTTTCGTCTGTAATAGATTTACATGAAAAAATAACTTTAATTTTTAAAAAAGTTTCAGGCTAAACATTCGATAAAGTGGGACATGTAAACCTTTACACAATAAATTTTAAAATTTGATAGTAAATAATACTACGAAGTTTGCATGTAAATCTTTAAATAATTTTTAGGAAGTATTCAGCATCGGGCTCGTCACCTTGTCATCTTCACAACTAAACACGTCAGTCACACTTAAACTCCAGCCAAAAAAAATTTCATTTTTCTAATAAAGAAACCAATATTGTCTGAATATTGACAAAACATGTTGTGATATTTTGTTGATGCAAAAGAAAATAATTTAAAAAAACGGTTAAAAGTGTTCTCTTTATTTTGTTGTAAACTACAGATTTTTAGAAAGGTTCTAACATTTCAAAAAATAAATAAAACTTTATAAAACAGTTAAGTTGGTCTGGCCCAAAAACTAAAAAAAAAATTTTTTTATGAAAAAATGTTAAAGAGAAAAGTTCTTTGTATTTTCCTAATATAAAATAATATAAAGATAAAAATTTTGAAATTTGAAAAAATTGAGTTTTCAGAATTTTGAAACTACTGTAGTTTCTGTAGTTTTCAACAAAAATGGCTGGATAACGAACTTAGCCTTCATTTTTAAACCAACTTTAAGCGTGTTAAATTTAAAAACGATCAGATAAGATTTTCAAAAGTTATTGTGTCAACAACATTTTGGTCTACAGACGGACATACATACAGACAGACGGACTCGCCGGACCATGTTTTTCGGGTTCAGGGGACCCCAAAACATAAAGATTTCATAAAATTAGCAAAAGTCAATTTTCGACCAAGACTAATACTTTCTCATGTGATGAGAATGTAATAAAAATTAGTTTTTTGAAAATAACTCGAAAAGTTTAGGGTTTGGCAAAAAGTTGTCAACAGCAAAGTTGTAGCTGATACAAAGCCGAGAAGAAAAGTCTGGGGTAGCAAAATCGCATATGCAATAATGTTGGAGATAATGGAGACGGAATATTGATTTTTTGTCAAAAAAGCGCACAAAAAATATATATATACAGTGGTTTTTCCGGAAATTACGACTTTTTTGTGTACAAGTATGTTTTTCAAGTATTTTAGGGTGAGAATATGTCAAAATCAATTGACTGACTTTTATTTCTTAAAAAAAATTCGATTTTCAGTGATATTTTAGGATTTTTTTAGTTTTTTTGACCATTTAAGAGACTATAACTTCGAAAATTGAGTTTTTATAGAAAAATGTTATAGAGAAAAGTTGTTTGTATTTTCCTAATATAAAATAATATAAAGTTAAAAATTTTGAAATTTAAAAAAATTAAGTTTTCAAAATTTTGAAACTACTGTAGTTTCTGTAGTTTTCATCAAAAATGGCTAGTTAACGAACTTAACCTTCATTTTTACACCAACTTAAGGTATGTTAAATTTAAAAACGATCAGATAAGATTTTCAAAAGTTATTGTGTCAACAACATTTTGGTCTACAGACGGACATACATACAGACAGACGGACTCGCCGGACCATGTTTTTCGAGTTCAGGGGAACCCAAAACGCAAAGATTTCATAAAATTAGCAAAAGTCAATTTTCGATCAAAACTAATACTTTCTCATGTGATGAGAATGTAAAAATGTCTCCAGTTGTGAGACACTCATTAAAAATTGCTAAAATTTAATAAGTTTGACATAAAACGTTATGTTTAGTAGAAATAATTAAATATATTAATAATATATATTATTATATACTAAATAATAATATTTATTCGCCAAAATATGACTATCAAACCTAAGTAGAAATGTCCGGAGTTAGGACGGAGTTAAACACCGACATGGTACTGACTCAGTACTGACCGTCGGTACTGACTTTCGGAACCCGATCAGTACTGGGAGTATACTGACTCCAAAACCGAATCAGTACTATGTCGGAGTTAGAAAAGTTCTAAAATCAGTACTGGCAGAAAACTGGCTTAACTCTAAATCAGTACTGCGAAGGAGTTAAAAAAACAATCAAAATTTGTTATAATGTAATTAAACATTAAACATCGTTTGATTTATTAACAATTAAAATATTTGCAAAGATTTGTAAAAACATTATTCATCAACAATAATATCAAACATTTTATTAATTTATTATTAACTAATAGATATATTTTAATAATATAATAATAAATTATTATTAATTAATTATTTTTAGAATTATTACGTATTATTAATACACGGAGAAACTTTTAATACCACTAATTCTTAAAACTGGTGAGACATTTTAGTATGTTAGGTTAGATTCAAGGGAAAAACGACATAGGTTATAGAAATTGCTATTGAGACTATCAAAAACACTCATTCAGTATATATTTTACAGTTCTTCCCTATATTAAAGAACCAGTAGAACCGGGTAGAATCAGGAGCCTACTTGCTTTAAGTTGGTTATTGTCACGTAAGTTCCAATTTCAAACCAGTAGATAAGTATTTTTAGCTGGTTTGAATTTGGAATGTCAAGTTCAAAATGAACTGGTCTCAGTTTGAACATTACAGTCAACCGGAAATTCCAAATAGGTTACATTGCACAACATGAACTTGTTTCAATTTGGATATCGATTCACAATTGGAAATCCAAGGTGGTTACAATTGAACAGATAGTTTTGAAAAAAAATATTTGTGGAAAAAATAATAAAAAATTCTTATGACCATTAATAACTTTATATTCTTAGCACGCTCCAAACATACAAACATTTTAATTAAACTGGAAGAATTAAATTAAAACTTGAACCCTATGGGAATCGAACCCCGTACCTATGACCTATCTATCTAAACGCTTAACGACCGCGGCTACCGAATCGACGTGAGAAATATTTTTCGACCTGTCTATATAGACTGCAACTTTAAAAAACGTAAGTTTATGTAAAATATTATAATTTTTGTAAGTACCTATAAAAATACAAGCAGAAATTAAATTATTTATAGAGATTTGCAAATATATGCTATTATGTAAAAAATATTAAATATTTAATACATTTTTGCTCAAATGTCATTTGACCGCTTTGTAATTTTTTGCAAAAAAATAACATTAAGCGAAATAAAAAACTGAAAATTCGTAAAAATTAAAATTCCCAAAATGACTATGCCAGACCAGCTCAACTGTGTTAAAAAAATTTCATTGATTTTCTAAAATGTTAAAACTTTTATGAATACCAAAATTTTTTTTGGGGGGTTTCAAGAAGAGACTACTGAGTATACTTCCTATGAGTTTCATTGCAACAGGAGCGGTCGAACACATAAATAATTAAAATTGTTTATAAAATTCTTATTAAAAATACGGAATTTTTAAATTTACAATCATGCAAATATTTTCTATTAAAAGAGTGTAAACAATGTTGTGTAAATAGTGTAAGTTTCATTAATTTATTGTAAACGGCTTTTGAGTTATTAATTTTTTTTAAATTTTGTAATATTTTGTTAATGCAAAAAATATAACAAAAATTTAAAATTTCAAAAAAACGGTTAAAAGTGTTTTATTGTTTTGTTGTGAACTACAAATTTTCATAAAATTTCAAAATTCACAAAATTACAAATAGCAACAGTAACAAATTCATAAAAATATCAATTCGAGAAATGTAAACTAAAATAAATATTTGTAAAAATGTAAATTTGCAATAATAATTCTTTGCAAAAGTAACAATTGGCGAAAATGACAATTTTATGAATTCCAATAAGCGATTAATCAAACTCTTTAAATTTGAACTTGAAATTCCAAATAGAATGCATCCCCGATTCAAATTAAACCAAGATGACATTAATCCTTCACTGTAACATATAAATTTAGAGTTGGAAATTCCAAACTCAAGCTTGTTGATTTTTAATTTGACAGGACAAGTGAAATGTAGTATTCGAGAATCCAAATTGAACCAAGTAGATACTTGAACTTAATTTTTATATTTGGAAATGCAAGCTGATACTTGTAGTACGTGCGAACTTGGAAATACAAGTAGAAATGATAACATTGGAAATCCATGTTAAAACAAGTCGAAACAAAAATTGAAGAGGACAATCCAAGATAGAACCATTTCAATTTTATCTTGGATATCCGTTTCAGTTACATAAATAGGATTTCCAAGTTAAAACCAGTAGAATTGCTACACGGAAAAGTTTTTCAATTTGGAAAGCAAGTCGACACCAGTAGATCCATGTTCAATTTCTACTGGTCTCAAGTGGTTCTTTAATATAGGGTTCATAAGGAAACTAACGAAAATTAGTATGTTGTTTTAGAAAGAAAATAATAATTTTTGCAAAGTTGGGAAAGCCATGAATTAAAAAGAAACACAACAAATTAATTGTCTATAGATACTCATAGAGACGATAGTGATACTTGGATCTGATGGTAGATGGCATTAGTGTATGTCACTGTAACTGTAGGTAAATATATTTAACACGACGTAAGAACCTAACCTATATTATTAACGCACACACGCACACGCAAGTAAAGACACGACGTCCTTATATATTAAACGAGTGGAAAAATATGTGCCTTCGAGAGAGAGGATTTTTTAAAATAACTTACTAATCAAATTATGTAAATAAGTAAAAGTCGTGAAAAAAATTAGGTTATATTGAGGAACAGTTCTTGAATTTAATTTGGCATGAGGAGACATTCACGTTTATTAATAAAAGGTTTTTTTCTTTCATACACGTGTGAATTTCAACTTCGAAAACATTAGGGTTAGTTCGCGACGTCAGGTGATGGACTCGGTGATGCTCGGGCGAAATCGGTTAAGTCCGCCCGCAGTCCTTCCAAAATTGGTATGTTACGTTAGAATGTCTGTTATATATTCTATCTATATGTGGAAAAAAGGTTAGAATTACCGTATTATTTCACAAACAAAAACTAGCATTTTATTCTTTTCTAAAGAAAAATAAGACTATTTCTAATGCAGATAGTAATTTTTGTACACCGAAGGTTGCTTAATATATAACGAACTTATCATATTTTCGTATTAATGTTGAAATTATTAGCACAACGCACGAAAAATCCTCACATTCTAACGTACTTTTAGAATAAAGATAACCAAATATATTTAATATTAGAAGAAAAAGTTTCTCCGTGTAATAAAAAAAATTTTATTTTTTAAAGCTGTATATATATTTTTATTTATTTATTTAACAAAAATTTTTCTTAAATAAATTTTTTTTTATTATTATTTTAATAAATAATTAGATTATAAATAATAAATAAATAATTATATTAATAATTTTTACCATATTATTATGATGTATCTATTAATTACTACATAATGACTTGATAAAATGTATATAAAGATATATGTATAATAATTTTTCTTGAAATAAATATAATATGCAGTGGATTTATTATTAAAGCACTGTATATATCGGTCCCACAATTCAAAAGGAAGTTTATGCGAGATAACTCCCGAGCTTGCGTGGCTATGCGGTATGTGTATTCGACTTGCGTCCTCGAGGTCTAGGGTTCGGTCCCCAGTGCGTGCGATATTTTTCCGTCTTAGTTTTAAGTGTTTTGTGTATAATTCTTAACAGTGTTACATAAAGTATAAGTTTAAATAATTAATAACCAGTAATAATAATAATTTAGTCATTAATTTAAATAAATAAGATTTAAATAAATAATGAAAAAATAAGAAAAATATTTTTTTAAAACTTATTTTAATAAAAGGAATTCTAATAATTAATACTAATAATAATTATTAGTATTCAATAAATTACTCCCCATGCTTTAATAATTAAATAAGGAGCTTATACTGACTGCCGGTAAAAATCAGTACTGGACAGCGTTACCAGCCAGGGTTTTCCCAGTACTGACTTAGTACTGGAGTCAGTACTGCAATACTGGCAGTCAGTACAAGATCAGTACTATGCCAGTATTACATTTCTACTTGGGAATAAACATAATTAAATAGCTTCAACAAGAGCATTAAAATTGATTTCTTCTGAATCAATTGACTTTTTTCCACTTTTGACATGCCCAAAAATACTAGAAAAAAAATCAAAACAACATTTAAATAGTATGCCTGCAAAGTCGTATTTTTTATGCTGCCCAGATGGGTGTTGACACTGTCTCACAACTGGTGATATGCTGTGTCTCACACCCAGAAATTAGCGCTATTTTGAAAAAGGAAAATTAAATTATTTTTAACCGTAAATTGGAACAATGCAATATTGCATCACAAAATATAAGGAAAACACTAAAAGAAAATGCATTACATTTACCTTTTCCAATTAATTAACTTGGAAAAAAAGTACTTTGCATTTATTGAAAAAACGCTTTTTAGTCGATTATCACACACAGTGTTGGTATTTAACAAAAACAGTTTAAATATCCGCTTCGGCGTACACGAAAAAGTTGGCTCATATAAAAAGAAATGTTTTTATATAAACCAATCGGCTTTTTAATATTGCATGTTAAAAAAAATTGACTGTCTCACAACTGGAGGTGTCTCACAACTGGAGACTCTCCCCTAGATAATAAATTAATCACATTGGATTTTTTAACTTATAGGTTAGTAGATTATAATGCAAAAAGCAGAATTTAAAAAAATCTTAACATTTACAAGAAAAAAAGTTTTTATTGATTCCTGAACAATTTCGAATTATGGACTTGTGCTGTTTCTGCACAAAACGCTTCAATTAAATAACGAACAAACATTAAAAAAAATTTATTTTAAAAAAAAATAAATAAAAATTATATCAAATGTTCTAAAATTCACACAGGAAATAGTAAAAATTAGCGCAGAAATTCGAAACATTTTAGGTTTTACGATAAACGAATAGTAAAAGTTGCTTTAATCCTTTTTTCGATGCAGAAAAGAAATGTTGAAATTTATTTATGAAATGAGTAAAATTTTGAAAAGGCGAATTTTTTTTTAATGAAACAAAGCAACATAATTAATGAAAAAGTGTTTTCTTCGTAAATATACATAGGGTAAAGTAGAAATGGAAATGATACTGGTTCCCATCGTTGAAGCTGAAGAGCAACCGGCAGGAAAAGGAAGAAATTCTCCTGAAGCACTACCTCCACCAGAGTAAGTTAAATTCTTTAAAAGAGTGAATATCTCTGGAATATTAATTTTTTACTAAACTTCCAACCCTTTTCAACAAAGTCTGTAAGCCAGTTTATATATACTTATAGCATGCTTTATCAATATATACTTCGGAGAACTTTTCTTTTCCGAACGAAAATTTTTACGAGATCTACTTTTTAAACTCTCGTACTAATTAAACAAGACGGGAAGGTTGAAATAATTCAAACTGTACAAAATTTTAAAAATCTTTCATAGTTTAAATCAACACTGAGCAAAATAGAGGTTTAAAGAAACTTGAAACTTGTTACTCGGGGGTTTTTGGGGTCACTGATCACAAATATGAAGTCTGATTTTTAAAATTCAAAATGTCAGATCCAATATGGCGGAAATTTTTTTAAATAATGATCGAAACCGCTTGAAACTTGTTAATCAGGGGTCGTTCGTTACGAATATGAAGTCAGATTTTCAAAATTTGAAATTTATTAATATATGATATAATAAATCAAATAAATCTGGAAGAATTTGTCGTCCAAAATGCATCAGATATTTTATGTTTTCAAAAACTGAATTCATATTCGTAATCAGCAACCCCAAAAACCCTAAGTAACAAGTTTTAAGTGAATTTGAGCAATTTCAAAAATAAGTCTGCCATATTGGTTGCGCCATTTTGAATTTTTAAAAATTGACCCCAGATTCGTAATCAGTGACCCCAAAAACTGTCTAGACATGATTCTCAAATTTTTTTATATTGTTGGTTAGTTACAATTACATTTATTGTAAAAAACGCTTTTTTAAGTTTATTTATTTATAACATTTACTTTATCAACAAAAAATATTTTTTCTTCTTCTTTGTTATAGTAAGGAATGTTCTCTAATACATGTAGTATGCTTTTTGTCATTGATATAAATGAAATAGTGCTTGAAAAATGCAAAAAAGTGAAGAAAAAAAGATGACACTCATGAGTGTCAGTATGCCGCAAAGAATTACCACACATAATATTAACTCTTGCGCAATAAATACATTGCAAAAACTGGTATCTCAAAATGAGTTGATTAAATATTTTAAACCATATTGAGATACAAAATATGTTTTATATTGAAACATTTAATTCAATTTCATGTATCATTTTAAAACATTAAACGTGACTCAATACGTGGTAATTGCTAAATGAGATGAATCAATGGCAACACTACTTAACACATATAATAAATTATTTTTCAATTATAAACACAGAAAAAACTTAAACTTATTTTTGTTGCATCTCAAAATGAGTCTATGTTAAATGACATAGAACGTAGCGCCATCTGCCTTACACATTTTTCAATTGTATCAAATTTAGTCAGATTCTTACTCAATTTGAGATCGATTTTTTCAGTGAAATATATAACCTGCAATACAAAATTCGACACTAACTAAAAATAGAATAGCAACTTTTACTAATTCATATGTTTTGAGAATTCCATAAATATAAAAAAGGGAAGTTCATAAAGAAAAATTTTCAAAGTTAATTATAATTTGAACTTTTTTTTTATCTGTCGATTTATGATTGTACAAGGTCGTAAAATTTTTAAGCACCATTCATATAGGTAATAACAGTCTTGAAAATAAAATATTTTCATATTAACTCTTAATAGGAAAATAATGTTTCTTGCAATATAAAGCAAAACATAAAATTTTGATGATGTTGCTAATGGTACGAGTGTAACTTTTTCAAGTATTATTTTTCTTAAACTAAACAAGTAAATTACAGAATGGCACAAAACTTTCACTAAAATATGTGTGTTAAGTTTTAGACAAATTTTTCTCTAAATCTGAATTAGTGAAAATTCGTTAAATAATTCAGAATGAAACTGAAGTTACCAACGTTGATTCAACGAAAAAATTAAAAAGAAAATTTCCCTAAAAAGTTCAGGATACAAAATTTTTTTTGTTTATTTTTAACCCAAGTAAACAACAAATATTGTTGAAATATTAAGTTTTTAAAATCAAGAAAGTTATGCACGAGTTAACAAAAAAAATGTGCATGTTGCTTGAAAGCATCACTGGTCCTCAAAGGGTTAAATATTGATTAATTCTTGCATCAAGTTGGTATTGATACTTTCTGCTTAATTATAATAAGATACTTTCTTGTTTTTACAAATTATGCTCCAAGATAATTTAGCAATGCTACAATGAAAATGTTTCACATTTTTTGTAGAATTTAATTAACAAAAGAGTTTTTTTAGTTTCACTAAGCTCCTGGAGAATAAGCTGAAGATTACTGGTCCAATACTGGTAGTCAAAAAATCTCATTGCTGGTAATGGGACGTAGCTTGGCCCAATAATGGCAAATTATTGGTAGATTATTAAGCTGTAGAGTTGTGCAAAAAGCTCGAGGCTCGGTCGAGCTTTTCGTTTTTCGAACCAAGCCGAGTCGAGCCTCATATAAAGCTCGAAAAAGTTCGAGTACCCTAAAAGTTCGAGTACTCGTGACAAAAGAACTTGAATATTTAATTATTTAGATATACTCTTCTAGTTGACACCAAGGTACATCCGGATGCCCCGGAGTCAATTGATAAGAGGATTTTTGTTTTTATCAAATAATCATAGACATAGACTAGTAACTTAGTAAAACATTATCATCTAGGAATTTATGTCGAAATCGAAAAGCATAGCTTTAGATTAACACAAAGATAAACGTAGATGTCCAAGAATCAGTTGAACATCATCCTGCAAATCACAGTCTACGTTGATGTTAGTCTGAAGCTACAATTATTAAAATAATGATCCACTAACACTCAGACATTCCGGGTACTTAAGTGTTAGTCCTTAGCTATAATTATTTTATAGGAACCTATATTTCTTGAAAATGATGTTCATCTGACTCTTAAACATCCGGGTGTTCTTTAGTGTTATTTTGGAAGCATGATTACTCGAAAAAACAGAATTGCCTGAAGATTACGTTTACCTGACTCCTGGACAGCCGGGTGCACTTTAGTGTAGTCTATGTCTATGATTATTCGATAGAAACCAAAATTCCCTCAGGATGATTTTCACTTGACTCCTGGACACCCGGGTGCACTATAGGGTTAGTCTATAGCTATGATTATTCTAAAGAAACAAAAATTTCCTGAAGGTGATGTTCACATGACTCTTGGATACCCGGGTGCACTTTAGTGATTGTCTATTGCTATGATTATTTTGATGGAAACCTAAATTCCTTGAAACTGGTGCAAGTACTCGAAAATTACGGGTACCCGAATTTTTCGAGTACTCGAGTGGATTTGGGAACCCGAAAAATTCGAGTACTCGACATTTTCGATTACTCGGTACATCGAGCCGAGCTTGGGCTCGGCTCGATCATTCGAGCTTTTTGCACACCTCTATTAGACTGCAATTTTCTATCTATGATGGCAAGTTATAATTGTCAATATTGAGATGTTGCTCGCAGTAATGGAACATTACTGGCTAAAGTTTGGTATCTATGATCGCAAAATATAATTGCCAATATTGGGACGTTGCTCGGCTCAATAATGCCATAATATCGGCCAGTAAAGTCGAACCTTTATGCTTTCACAAATTCATGTCAGCGTAGCAGAGTGAAATATTTCGTATAAATATGACAATTGAATTAGTTAATTAATTAAAAAATATAATTATTTTTATTATTTTTGGCCGTGTTAGCTTTCGCATTTGGGGCGTTTTTGAAAAATTCTAAATATTATTTTTTTACTTTCCTTAATATTTTATTTTTTCTGATAGTATGTATAATTAAAATGAATAAACTTCAAGAAAATTAGTTTCAATCAAAGTGGCTAAATATCAATCAATATTCAAAATGGAATATTGTAAAAGTTTTTAGAATCCGCCGAAGACGGGTATTGCAGCTTGTAAAATAATAATTATAATAATTATTTCTCAATGATTCCTACAAAAAAAATGTTTATCTTTGAAACTTTCTCACAGAAGCATTATATACAGTAAAAGAAAGTTCTAAATTTTTAGAACTTTTTCTGTGAAACTACTTTCTTGAGTCTTAAGTTTTTTTAAGTTCTTTGTTGAAGTACTCGTAGCTCTTAAGTAACTATCTTTTTTATCTCAATGGTAAAAAATAGCCCTCCAATTTATACAAACTTCATGTAAGTTCTAAAATTATTATTTATTTGTAGGGGAAAGGGTCTGAAGATGGACATGGTTTCGATTTAATGATCTAGTATCCAAACCCAAAAAGATATGTTAAATTGTAATATGAGACGTTCTCTGAAAAAAGCCACTTTAAAAAAAGTGCTTAGTTTTTTCGGCAATAATATGTCTTTTAGTACATCTAAAAACTAAGAGAAAAAACATGATTTTAGGTCCGTGCAATGCACAGTGGGCCAGATTTCAAAAATTCAATATGGCGGATCCAATATGGCGGACATAAATTTTTTTATATGAATCAATTTTAATGAAGCATAAATATCTAAAGGTTTTTTGGGTCGCTAATTATGAATCTGAAGTCAGATTTCAAAAATTCAAAATGGCAAATCCAATATGGCGGACATAAAAATTTTAAGTGATAAGCGTTAAATCCTTCCATAGTTTAATTGTTAGTAGTAAAATAAATGATCATGGGAAGGTGAAGAATTGAAAAAATTCAATGTATCGTCAGAATTGCTCTAAACAGAACTTTTTTTCCTCTTCTCAGACGTTTAGACTCTTGTCTATAATAACACAACAATAACACAACTTGCCCCCTCTATGATAAAACTGTGTTTACATTCGGTTCATTGACTTTTTCTTTATCTTGATTCTTTTGACTTTCTCGAAATAGCAAATTTTTAATTTATTTCAGTTGACACTGAACTAGTGTGCTGAAATGTCTTCCTCTCATATAAAGAAACTTTTCTTTTTTAATACATGTGGAAATTTTTATAAAAAAATATTTTTTCTCTATGAAATCTTTTTTATTTTGACGAGTTAGAACGCGATTTTTATGTTTTAACGAACCTGGTAGGATATTCTTTAAACATATATTTAG